TTCACATATTACTGAAATGAATTGCTTTATTACAACATAATATATAATCATACAAAAAACATAGGTATGTTTGTATAAAAAGAGAGAGACAAGAAAACATATTCATACATAAATGTAGATATTTAAAATGTCATATTTTAGTGAAAGTGCTAATTGTAAATATTATATAGGTAGACCCATCATAACTCAATTTGTTTTATCTAGGTACAAACTACCTATAAAAATTTAAAAATTTGATAAACTAACAGATTTTTTAAAACAGTATCATATTAATTATATTATTATACAAAAATTATACCTATACAGACTATAGATAAAGGTTGATATACCTAGGTACCTGCATACATAATTAATTATATTAAATAGGAAATAATAAATATTAAAATTAAAATAATAAGTTATAGATAGGTAGATACTATATTATATGTATACCTACTAAATAATTAAATTAAAAACTTTAAAAAAAAAAGGTAGGTAATAGGTAAGGTACTTGTAATAATAATAATAATTATTATTATTATGTAGATACATCAATACATGTATCAACACATACATCAATGCATCATAATTAAATCAACGTATTGACTTAATTATGATGAAGTATAGGTACCGCAGTAAGTTTGTCATTCAAATCAAATACAAGCATTTTATTTTTAATATCTGAAATATTCCACTGTTTTAAATGTTCTGATAATTTGTTTATAACAAATATATTTAATATAGATGACTATAGAGGTTTAATAAAAAGATCTTCTTTTTCTTCAAATATTTTACCAATAAAAACTGTAGTTTTATCAGAAGATTTTTTTAATTCAGTTATTTGTACAATTTCATTAGAGTTGGTGAGAACAAAACAATCGGGTTTTTGATTTGAATACTTTAAATTAATTCACAATGGGTGATTGGTTAAATTGATTCATTTTTGCATAGTTCATTATATCGCCTAATCACTTGCTGTAAAGGTTTTTCATTCTTATGCAACATTTTATTTAAGACTTTCATGTAGTTCTCAAAAGGAAAAGTGCTACACGTGTCGAGAGGTCCATGCCTTTCATAATCATCACACAAATGAAGAATTCCATGTACATCATGGGATATAAAATGAGTTGTTATAATTGTAAAATTGTTATAACATTCTTCATTTAATATATCTATAATAATTATCTATATAATATAATTTAGGTAAGTAGGTTATTAGTTATAAGATGCTTTTATATTATTATTGTTGTTTAAAATTGATTGATTCCTATTTAGTTGACACTTATTGAAACTTTAGATTACGAGACTTATCCGCCCACGAGAAACACCAAACACTGATAATGTGTTATACATCAACAAAAAACCGTGATACTATCATAGATACTGTCGTATATTGTAGACAGTCGTCAAAATATTATTTCATATATGTAATAGAGGTGGGAACATTTTAAATTTTAAACTATTGACATAGGTCAGTGAAGCATATGTGCTGAGACAGCGATAAGATTACTATATAACACCGCCGCACGCGCAGGCACGAGGGGAGTCCCGTTGTCACTGAGTGAATCGGCGAGGACGTAGGTACTGTGGTCGTACGTGTGAAACGTCGATCGTAGTACGGGCTAGGCAATCCGGATTTACTAAGTGTTTAATTTATGTTTGTTTTAATATAATAAAAGTGTTTCCGACCTAAAAACCCGAGTTGAGTTTTATTTCAAAGTCTTCTTCGTTCTTACCTTTAATATTGGAACAGTGCTCAGACCCACACACCTATAGTCAATGAGGTTTATTACAAACTGAACAGTGCTCTGGTTGTGGCGTCCTAATAGTCATTCCAATTTAGGAAACGAACGAAGAACTGACAAAACGCTACCATCGTACCTCAAAGGTTAACAGTGCTAATCTGAATTTATTCTAGAGACAGTCATTAGCCTAGAGCGTACGAGGGTAAGGTATAAAGTTGGTTTACCGCGTATTATCCAATACGGGTGATACCACAATACATAATAGTACACATTAGAAGTTTCAAGTAGGTACCCACGAATAATATTATGCAATCACAACAAAATAACTAAATGCTAGGTTTTCTAATATGGAATTTCATCCAAAAATGAACTTAAAATGGCTATAAAAATAAACAATGCTTGTGTATTTTTAATATTTTTCAACTGCTATTGTAACAATATATCAGGAGCATTGTATTAAAATTTTACACTTTTTGACAAACAGATAAAACTTCATTGATATTCATAGAAAAAAAAAGTAAAAAAATTGAAAACTGACAATGCCCGTAAACAGCTCAAAAAGTGTCAAGATATTTTGAACATTTTATCAAGTATAAGAATTGATAATATAAACATTCAGTGAAATTGTCATGTATCTACAGTTATTCATTTTTCAAGTATAACAAAATAAGAAAATCGTTACACGAGAAATCGAGTGAATAACACATTTTGTAAAAATATGAATTTAAAATGCTCATAAAAATTTAATTTCAACTTCCGGTAGACATTTTTTTTTTTTATAAAGGTAGATAATCTTATAGGGAATCTTGTATTACATTTAAAAATCTTAGATTTTAAAAGAAAAATTTTTATGAATTCTTAACTCAAAAGAATTTGCTAATTTTTGTGATTTTTCCATATTTTGTCAATTTTTGAACCTTAAATGCTTATGAAAAAAATCTGTGACTTAAGATTTTTCATATTTTTCAAATGTCATTGTAACAATATAGAAGGAGCATCGTACTAAATTTTCAAGTATTTTTACTCAACAAATTAAGTTTTATTGACATTCATAGAAAAAAACTAATAAAATGAGAAACTGCAAATGTAACTAAACAGTTAAAAACATATCATAATACGTTCATTTGTTTTAGAGTTACACCAAAAACCAAAATTTTGGGTAAAAAATCACGTTTTTCCTTAATTTTTATGTTGTTTTTTCCGGCCCAAAACTATTGGGAATTTTAAAATTTGAACTCCCGAATGCACCAACTAGATTCAATTTTCCATCGAACAAGATACTGTTGAAGAAAATCGAAGCAGTATTCAGCCCAAAACCGTGATGACAGACACAAAAATGAATAAAAAATAAAAAATAAAAAAACACACATCAATGTAAAATCAATACATTCATTGTTCCACTCAGAATCTAAAATTGATTTTAGTAATAGAAATATTGAAATGTATATTGCCGTTAAAATTATGACAAAATATACCGATTTTGATGAGACTTATTATAAATAATATGAGGTAAGTAAACAATTGTGTGTAAAATGACTTGTCAACAAGAAAATAATGGAAATAATTGGACATGTACATTTTCAAAATTGTTTAGGGCAAAGTTGAAAACAGATCGTGATCTTCAAATAAATGAAAATATTAAGAGAACGTAACACGGGCATTTGTTTTCTCTGTCTTACAAGAGAGTAACATAGAAAATTTAAGCTCAGCATAAAACATTAAGCTTTTCTAGTTTAAAAACTAGAATGAATCGACCTATTATGAAACATGATTTTTAGTTATGAGCTTTTTTAATTAACGCTATATTATATACGTAAGACTTGCTAAAAAATTTAACTACAGTAAAAACTCCTATAAAAACAAAGATAACTTTCTTACCATCAAGTTTCATTCACTCTAAATTTAAACTAACAAAGTCAAACGTGACCTGCTGAGCTTAAATGTGCTGTTATGTAATTGTAAGACGGAGACAACAAATGCTCGTGTTACATTCTCTTAATTATTAAAACTGGCAGTTCAAATAGTTTGATTGAAACACACCTCCCACTCCTTCCAAATGAACACCCTTTCAAATGACTGTGAAACTAATTAAATGTACATAATTTAATGACATTCCTGTGTTTAGTAAAATTATAGCAGAAGGTCTCAGAAGTATACACTATTATTTCACCCAACTATCAAGCCAGTTATTAAATTGAACTAGAAATCATAATTGAAAAAGGTTTTAATTTGTAAAATATTTTGATTACTATATTGCAACAAATATTTCATCAGTTATTACTATAATATTGTTATTTCATAAATAAAAATAAGTGTATTAACTTACAGGCAAAGGTTTTAATTGAGAAAATATTTGTTCACAATAATTATTTTCAAGCTTGGCTCTTTGATCTATTTCATGTTTTAGTGCCATTTTGGTTAACTTTAATTTGTTAAGTAAGAATGGAGATTCTTGGCATGGTTTATTACTATAATTTCCAGTACCGGTAACTGAAAAGAAAAAATATAGAATTATTAGCAACTCAAATTTAAGAACTATATTTTAATTACAGCTCAAAGTAGGTAACTCACCTGTTTATACCCTCAATAAGAATTTTTTTTGAGAAATGTTTAAAATAAATATGACTTGGGTATAAATAAAAATAAAATGTTTGCTAATCATACTATTTAAAACCTCTCTAATATTAGCATTTGCCATATCTAATTCTTTACGTAATTGCATTTCCAACTCTGTACTATCTTCTTGGAGTTGATCATTAATATCTTGTATTGCTTCTAGATCAGTCACTGCTTTCTCTAATTCTACCACTTTATCTTCCAAATTCAATTTTTGTTAACCCAGAAGCTCAACTAATTCCTCTACTCCTAAAGCTGCATCAACCTAAAATATAATAATATATTAATACTTGGAAACTATCTGATTAAAAATTAATATAAAACCTATTCATGAAAATCATTAACTTGAGATGCTAGTTCTTCATTAGACTTTTGTAAATCATTACATTGTTTGGTCATTTCTTCGATTTCTCTTTGCAGGTTTTGTGTTTGGTGTTTCTCGTGGGCGGATAAGTCTCGTAATCTAAAGTTTCAATAAGTGTCAACTAAATAGGAATCAATCAATTTTAAACAACAATAATAATATAAAAGCATCTTATACTTAAATAGTGTATCTCTAAGACGTACATTTTGTTGTTCAAGTTGCTTGACTTTGAAAGAATTGGCACCATCTCCTCCCTCTTCACTTACATTTCCTTTCTCAAACTCAGCCTTTAAGAGTTATAAATCTTCTGTTAATTCCTCAATACGCTCTTTTGCTTGGTCTAATTCTAATTGAAGTGTTTCTGCTTTCACTTCAGCCATTTCTAAAGTCTCCGCCATTTCATTATACTCGTCTTTTTCTTCTAATGCATCTTGTTTCTCCATTTTAACTTTTTCTAATTCTTTTTTTAATGCTGATTGAGATTCCATAATTTTAATTTTAAATTCTGCTGCTTGATCCAGCTGCAATTTCATCATATAAATATCATCTCAGGCAGTACATAATCATTAATTGATCTATCACGTCCAATTGTATACAAATGATAACAAATACCAGGTCTTACACGACCTGCTCTACTACGACATTGTCTACAATTAGCTAAGCTAACCCATTCTTCATTAAGAGGTCCAATGTTATTTTCTGCATCGAATCCTTTTAACTTCTTCCGGTCATTATGAATAACATAAACTACATCGTCTATGGTAACTGAAGTCTCTGCTATGTTTGTGGATAATATGATCTTACGAAAACCTATTATAATGCTAACATTAGACAAAAATGTGTTTAAAGAAATTTAATGCTTACCCCGAGGCGGCGATTCAAAAACAGATTTTTGAGATCCAGTGGGTGACATGGAATGCAAAAAAATCAGTATGTACCGAGCTTTGTTAAAAATATGTCAGTGCACCATTTGTTTCTCTCTTTGAATAACGAGCAACATGCAAGTGTGAGTACAGTAGATCCAGTTTTGTACTGTTACCTTTAATATTAGAGTTATATGACAATGACATAATATTATAATCAAACTTAAAAGCAAATATGTTTTTCAAGGTACCTTATAGAGAAGCACTAAGCATTTATTCGTATTTCATTTTTAAAACAAGTTATGGAGATATTTTAATATTGTAAGATATAATTATTTATTTATTAATTTATTTTGACTTAACGGGGTGAGCCCTTTCGATATACAAATTTATGTCCACGCACACAATTAGATATTATACAATGTGTCCCGTGAACAGGTGGGTACGTTAGTTAGTAAATGGTACAGTAAAATAGCTTTAAAATAAAAACCTATTAACAATATTCTCACCTTTAAGTTTCATAACTCGCTCCAATATGGTATGTATATAATTATCTTCAAGAAAGTCAACGTCTGAAAATTGTCAACACATTGGCTCAACTTAATAGTTTCTTGTATGTGGTACATCATATATTTCAGTTTTGAAAACCATAATAAGTATAATCCACTGTATGATCTAAAAACGATAAACCACTAAGTAACTTTTGGCTTTGGCAAACATTTAAAATCGGAACTTAGGTAATATACTTATATAAGTGTGTGTGAATTAGACATTATTAAGTTTCTAAGGCTTTTCTGAGTAAATTAAAATCATCGACTGTAACGTCTCCAAATCCTTTATTTGTCTGTTTGTTTTCTTCAAACTCATCATTGGAGAAATATAATTTTCTGAAAATATAAAGTTGTAAAAAATATCTGAATACCTACCTAATTAATATTAAAAGATTTTACCTCTTAGATGATTTACTAGTCGCGCTCAGAGTGGTACCAGTGTTGCTGTAAATTATTAAAATTTATTTTATATTGTTTATTTTACTCCTCTAAACAGACATGCAGTTTGGATTATGTTTTGTGACAGCCTCTGGCCATAATAATATCTACTATATACTGAGCCTTGTTTATAATTACTGGTTGTGAAATGAGTACCGCAGATTCTGCTCCAGATATAAATTGGGTAATAATTTAATTTGAAATTTTATTTTCTTCTATTTTCATTTTTTGTGAATCTATATTTGTGAACAAATTAGACTGGCACCATATTATTAAGAAATATAATCAGTACAACTAGAAAATAATACTTACAAATGAAAATTAAGGTAAAGTGGCGAGGCGATACTTTGGATGTTTTACTAAAAAGAATACACTTATGCATGGCAACTTTTTACTAAAACGTATGAATACAATACTGTACGAATGTGTAGTAGTCTGTATTTACTATTTCCGTACAAATATCAAATACCTAAACGAATGATTCAAATGATTAAATTTAAGTCGGCGAACAATAAAATTATATTATGTTGTTGTTATACATTTGATAACAATTATTACTATCTTAGTGATAAGCACGGTATTTATCACGATTATAAAGAACTAGTTAATGGAACTACGCCGTAACGAGTTCTGACCGACGATCCAGCCCACGTCGCTTAACCTGTTCTTTATAATCGTGGTATTTACTATTTATAGACCAGACAATTGTAAATAAAAACGGTTTATATCACTATAAAAAAACGGTTTATATCACTTTCATGGATGAAAATATCATATCAGTTTGGCTTGTAATAAACAACAATTAACATTATCGTAGGCCGCTGAATTTAAAAATATTTAATATTTATAATATATACAAATACAATTTCACAACTGACCATATAATCAGGGGCGGAACTAGGGGGGTGAAGCCGGGGATTGATCCCCGGGCGTAAAACTTTAGTGGGTGTAATTTTTCTTTAGTTCTTTATTTAATGCTTGGTGATAGAAGTTAAGAAAACATTTTCATTTCACATTATTTGTTTATGATGTTGTAGTGATGACGTTGGAATTAATGAAAAAAAAAATAAAGTTAATAGTAAGATTATGAATAGATTCGTATTAGTATACTCAAAGGTGGGCATTAACTTGTTAAAAAGTTAAAGTTAAGTTAAAAAGTTAATTTTTTTTTAACTTTTTAACCTAACTAGTTAATTATTTTTGTTTTTAACTTATTAACTTATTCAGTTAAAATGTTTATTGTTGTAACTTAACTTTTTACAGTTAATTATCATTGTCATGCAGTTAAGTTAATTTCATTTTTGAGTTATGCGTAATCAACTAGGCAATACCGATTGGTCGACTTTTTTACGATTTTAGTAATTTATTTTCGAATTATGTATTATAATAATTTAATTTTTACACAGTGTTAAATATCTTGGTAATGTTTTTGTTATAACAAATACTATGTAGGTATATGACTTAAAAATATTGTACCTTCAAAAAATTACTGTTTTTTTAACTGAGATAAGTTAATTTTATTTGCGCTCTAACTTTAACTTATCTAGTTAATTTTTTTCCTTGTTAACTTTTAACTTAACTGAAGGCAATTTAAATGAATTAACTTAACGTTCCAAATTAATTATTTTCATTAACTTGCCCACCATTGTATACTAAGTATATTATACTTGTATAACTGGCATTAGCATACATACGGCAAGCAATATACAACTAATATACTATAATTATTATTAAGATTCTGAGTGAAAATGTAACTAGTAACTATACCTGGGCATTTATTGATGCTGTGTTTTCGTTAAAATTTCTGATACCTACACAATAACTGTTATAAGATTATCAATCAACGTACGATACGTATATTATATCTGTATATTAAAAATGATGTTAATAAATTATAGTTTATAATATTATATATTATAATATTTACCAAGGTCCAAGATAGTTATACATTTGTTTATGTTTAAAAAAAAAGATTGATTTTAAATATTTACTTTTTCATTTTTTCTATTATAAATTGTTTAATTAAATACAATTGTTTACTGGCCTAAATTGTGTACCCTAATCAGAATAAAAGATTTTATATTTTACCATAAAAATCTATTATAATTGAAGGCTGAGGCGCATAGAACCAAAACAGCAAAAGTGTTTACAATTGTTATACAGGGTAGGTAGGTAATTAAAGTTTTGATTATTTTTCAACATTTATATATAACTAATATTATTATTATTTCTAATAATAAATACAATTAAGTAACCAATACAGTATTTCCAGTAATTAAAAATGTATCAACAATATGTTGACTAAGTTTTTAAATTTAAAGTGTTTTTGGTGTGATAGTTTATTAGTATAAACTTGGTTACACCACAGTCCACAGAATATATTAATTATTATATATATATAAGTTAATAGTAGGCATTTGTTATAGGGTTCTACTCTTATCATAATCATAAGACCTTCTTGACAACCGTAAAAAGTATAATTGGATTTCTAAATAAATAAAAAAAAAAACAAAAAAATTTTGTTCCGTTATGATAAACATTGTAGGTGATATGTATCAATCTGGTCTATGCATTGGCATATGTCTGACCCCGGCGTAAAACTAGTTCGCTCGCAATATGACCACGATCTCATATTTGACACAGAGTATAGATTAGTGTAATTATGATTTAGATTATGTCCATTATGATTAAGAGTCTTAACATAGTATAAAATTAATAGTACGTTATGATAGAAACGTCTGACTTTATTATGTACTAATGAACTGTATAACCTATCAGTTAATTTCTTCACAGCCCCCGTGTGACTGAAGTGTAATTTATATTTTTACACTAACCTGAATCAACATGTAAAAGAACACACGATTTATCAATAGACCGTTTATGTGCTGAGTGTAGAAGTTCTATGGATTTATCATATTAAAAAATATATTTTATAATATCATCTATGGCAATCGCCAATTGTCGACATTCGTCTGCGACGATTAACAATTCTAATAATTTTAGTGAAAAAAAATATAATAAGCCATCAATATGGTCAGATAGTTCGTATTGAGCCGTATATATTATTATGTAAGTTTTAACACGAATTCGCACATTTCGTTATGTTCAGGTAATTTTCATAAAATATTTCGATAATTTTAAGTTACAGTTCGGAACGAGATGAAGATAGCAGTTTCTTCGGTGGCGTCAAGTACTGCGGACGTTTGCATTGTTGATGATGCACTCTAGCTAGGTTTCACCGGGAGAGTCGATGTTTCAGCGTAAGTTTGTTTTCATAATTTCATATTATTTTGGGATTTACTTTTACTTTTTAGACATTTTAATAATTAAAAACATAATATAACGTAATGTTGTAGTAGAAGCTGGAAACTGTAGTACCTATATTCTATAATTAATAATACAATTAATGTAATTTTTTGAATTTTTTAAATTTTAATGTAACATTTATTATGCCTACACAAAACACTTACCTACCAAAATTGAATTTTTCACAAAATTTGTTGTTTTAACGATAAATGACAATTTTAGTTCCCTATTATGGTGAAAGTATTTAATACAAACAAAAAATTAATGTTCGAAAATACAATTTCCTATATTATTATTTACTAAATACAAAGAAACTTAAAAATAAAACTATGATCATTGATTACATACAGAGTACCTATAAATTATATTATGCAT